TGCATAATCCAAGTGAGGTCTCACAAGCGCAAGATATAGTTTCAGGATGACCTCTCTAGTTTTGTAATTAACACTCTTTTGTATGAAGCCAGGTACTTTATTAGCCGTGTTTCGAGTAAATGCACATTTTTTACTTGGCTTAAGATTCTTACTTATCATTACTCCTAAATCTTTCTCGCATTCAGATTAATCCATAACATTATTGTTCATCTGATATCTGGTTTCTCTGTTTACATCTCCGAGACTAAGTACTATACATTTGTCCACATTGAATTTCGTCTGCCATTTTTCAGACCATTCGAAAAATTTGCCTAGATCTTCCTGTAGTTTTGCAGAGTCCTCGTCAGATTTAATTATACGCCCTATTTTAGTGTCATCAGCAAATTTACTTACGTTGCTGTCTACGCCGATATCTATGTCGTTTATGTATATAATAAATAATAATGGTCCAAGTACCGAGCCTTGGGGTACTCCACTTGTGACGTTACTACACTAGGATTTAGTGCCGTTAATGCTCACTCGCTGTTTCCTGTCCTGTAACCATGCACTAATCCATTTTAGAATACAGTATCTCCTCCAGTGCCAGGAGTCTCCACTTTTCTCATTAGTCTTTCATGGGGGACTGTCGAAGGCTCTGCTAAAGTCAAGATATACCACATCATAATCGTGCCCCTCGTCCACTGATTCGAAAACAGCTGAAAAGAATGTTAATAGATTAGTTAAACATGAATGCCCGCTTGTAAAGCCATGTTGGGAATCATTGATCAACTTGTGCTTCTCCAGGTGATTTCGAATTACATTCCTTTAATACTCTGGCAAATATCTCATCGGGACCTGGCGACTTAATAGGCTTTAACTTGTCTATTTGCTTACTAACATCGTTACCAGTCACTACTATCTCGCTCAATGTATTTTCTTCACTACCTCTGTATATAGTCGGTGCCTCGGTTATCATGTTCAAATTTTCGGTGGTGAAAACTGTTGAAAAATATTTCTGATTATTGCTCATTTCTCCGTTGTTATCAGTTAGCTCGCTGGTATCTGACCGTATTGGTCCAATCTTTTCTCGTGTTTTAGTTTGATACATTTGAAAGAATCCCTTGGGGTTTGACTTAGCCTCCCTTGCTACCTTCAGTTCATTATTCCTCTTTTCTTTTCTTATCTCTGTCTTAACCCTACTGGCCACTGCCTTCTTATAATCTTGGAAGTAAGCTTCACCACAATTTATTCTTCTTCCTATAGCCTTCCTTTGTCCAATAATGTACTTTAAATCATTGTTTATCCATTTAGGGTCAATGTTGTTTGATCTGAATTTTCTGTATGGTATGTTCTGCCTTTGTGCGTTAAGTAACTTGTTATTTAAATTGTTGTGGAACTCATCAGCCTCAGATCTCGTGATCATGTCATCCTCAACCGTCATATTTTGTGAGGATATCGTTGTCAGGTCTCCAGGTAAAATGAGCTCGCCCTCTGTGAGTACATTGTGTGAGGTCACCTCACATGAGGTCATGTAATCCATCCCCAAACATGATACCCCTTCTCTCAGCTGCCTTTTCAACCTATCAAAGTTTGCCCTTCTGAAATCTGGGACTTAAATTGAATTTTCCTTGCGTCTGCCATTAAATTCTAATTGAAATCTTATTTCTTTATGATTGCTGTTAGCAAGTTCGTTCCCTACCTCGACATTACTAATGAGGTTTTCTCTGTTTGACAGAACTAAATCGAGTATATTGATACCCGGGTGGGTTCGGTTATATGTTGACTTAGGAAACAGTCCTGAACTGTTTCAAGAAAATCCTCTAATTCCATGTTACGTGTAAGGTCAATCCAATCTATTTGGCTAAAGTTAAAGTCGCCTCCTGTAGTAACTTTGCTATGTCTTGAAGCCCTGCGCATTTCATCCCAAATAAGTCGTTCATTATCTCTTATCAAGATTAGGAGGTCTTTATATTACTCATGCGATTTATTTTTCTCTACCATCGGTTAATTCTATCCAAATTGTTTCTGTATTCAGTTCAGTTTTTATTTCCTTATTTATTTCACACTTCAGATTATCCCTGACAGATTGCTACTCCGCCTCCTTTCCTAATCTGCCTATCAGTATGGAATAATTTGTAACCTGCAATTTGGTATTCGGCAGGTAACTCTCGTGAGTCTAAGTTTATCCATGTTTCAGTGAATGCTATTATATCGATTTTTTCGGTACATACCAATGCCCTGATTTCATCCATTTTTTTTTCTCATACTCCTACTGCTTGCGTAGTAGACATTTAAGTTAGTTGTGTTCTGAGTCCTCTCTTTGACGCATTTAGGTTTTAACTCCCTGCCTAATTTAGTTCTGTCATCATTCCTAGCACTATTTCCCTGTAACCTTTCACTCTGTTTATCCGCTCCTACTGCAGTCTCCTTCACCTCCGTGTCCATATGTTCCCCTAGCAGTTTAAAGAGTTTGACATCTTTTGAACTGCCCTCTCGAGAGAGCCAGCCAAGGTTGCCAGTGACTTGCCACCCCATCCCCAGGTAGATGCACCCCATCCCTAGCATAAAGGTCCCTTCTGCCGTAAAATTTGTCCCAGTTGTCAATGAATGGGACTGATATTGACTTGCTATATCTGTCTAGATGGCTGTTGATGCCAACTGCCCTTGACAACCATTCATTGCCAACTCTCCTTCTAGGCAGGACACCACATATGATAGGGATCCCTCCCTTCAACCTAATACGTTCTATAGCTGTCTTGAACTTATCAAGAAGCTCCTCACTCCTACACTGGCCAATATCATTGCCTCCTACAGTAAGGTAGATAATGGGTTTGTTCCCATTACCAAACAAGATATTGTCCATCCTCATCATATTTTTATTTCTACCACAAAATTTTTTATCCAGGTCTCGTATCTGGGAATCGCCAACAATTAAGGTTTTCGTACGTTCCCTCTCAGCCCTGTCCCTGACTATGCTAACGTCCAATTCGTCTATCAAAGGACTAAAAGAGTTTTTACACTTAGCTGTTGTCATTTCCTTGGTAACAGGGCATTAGTGTCAAGGTCCCATTGAAAGCCCCGCAGGCTCGTTGTTCTAGTATAAGCCTCCATGGTGAAGCTACCCACGGGCTGGTACAAATTATTTCCTCCGACTGAGAAATTTATTCCTCAGTGTGATGGCTTCCTTTATAATCACGTCTACTAATTTAAGTAAGTCCTTGTGGCAATTCAATGTTATTTAAAAAAAAAGAAAAAATTATAATAATAACAACTTAGCTGCCACTGTGCTGGTCACCGCCACCTGGCACTTCTTTCATCCAGTGTTGCCGTCCAAGACTGTTTGAGTTTGATTTTCTTTTCCAGTTCGCATTAATAAATATATCTTTGTGCTATCACTGTGTACACTGTATATCCCTATGGATGGTGGATTGTAGGCACAACTTCAGACCTTGAGAAAGCACACACACAAAAGAAAAAAAAATTCTTTATGGCACCAATAATACGACTCGGTTACTGCCGGCAGTGGTGCCGTAACATCTTGCTTGCCAATTTGTTCTTTGCTTCAAGTTATCTACAACCTCTTCTGCTGTCACTGATGTCGCTATGAACTGTCTTGACTAAAGGCACTGTACTGCACTCCCTGGTTGGCCTTTGGGTGGTCAATCACTGCCGTGACAACAACTCAATAAAAAAAATTTAATTCTTGTCATATGTCAGTGATTTTATGGTTGTAGGCCTCCTGACCTGGGCTGTACCTCCAAATCAGTGGAGATTAAATTTTCAAATACTGTATACATTTGTGACTAGCATTAAAGATCCTACATCAATTTACACTTTCACATCCTAAGACGATCTTGATGTTCTTATGTAATCACTGTCCAATTTCTGCCGCTCAACAACGAAGGACCCGAGTGCCAAACATGCTTTGTTACCGACCCGCACGACCCGCCATATACTGTACTCCAACCATTTGAAATGGCTTCCAAGCACCCATCAAGTGCTACTGATGCTAGTGTTGTGAAGAAGCAACATAAGACCATTAGCCTTGCTACGGAAATGGAGGTCTTAAACCGGGTGGAGGAGCCACCCACCGGATCTCGGTAACTCTCCACTCTCCTCCTCCTCTCCCACCCTCCTCATCTGCTCCACTACCCACCACACACTCGCTCCACCAACTCTTTCCATCAGTGAGTACAATACAAAATTCTATAGAAATGCCATTGAATTTCTGTATCTGTAATGTATTTCATGGGGCAAAGGGAGGCTCAGGAACGTAACTCCCGTATTTGATCTATTTCTTATGGGGAAAATTGATCTGCTTCACGTTTTCTTATAACGTCGCATTTTCAGGAACGTAACCTCGACGTTAAGCAAGGACTTACTGTATTGTATCGGCGACAATTTTTTTATTTTTATTTATTTATTTTTTTGATACAAAGGGGAAGAAAAGTGTTTCATCAACTGTGTTTCATCAACTGGAACTCTCCTATTGTGCCATTCTTTATTAGACTTGATTTAAGTTATTGTAGTAAATCTCCTTCCATCTGTTGTATTAGTTAATTATAATGTGTCTGATTTAACCCCACCTAAGTGTAGTGAATAAGGTTTATTTTTATGCATAAGAAAACAGTACTTTGTCTTTTTGGAATGTAATTTTGTTATACAGTACAGGTTGTACCTCTCTAGTCTGGCATTCTGTCATCCGGAAACTCCCTTGGTCCGGAATGATTTTAGTTTGCCCAATAGCCAACATCCCTGATGTAACTCAAATGTAATTTTAGTTACAGTACCATCACTTCACATTGGAAGCAGAATTATGGTAGCATTAAAGGTAAATTAAATAGTATTTTAACCATATTAGTTTTTCTTATTTATTTCTTTCCTATCTTATGTTTTTATGCTTTATGTAGGGTGTTTCGAGAGTGAATTTCCATGGTCCGGCACCGGTCAGGTCCCGAGGTTGCCGGACTAGAGTGGTACAACCTGTACTGTATTTAGACAACTATATTGTATTATTACAGGATTTGGTGGTAGCTGCTTCCAGAAGGACTTGCTGAACCTTGTTTACATTGCTGAGTGCCTCAATTTGCCTGAGGTAGCAATGTACTGGCAGCAGGTGACAGACATGAATGAATATCAGCGGACCAGGTGAGTCATTGAATACCTAATTACGGGTACTGTATTACCTGATTTGGAAAAGGGTTCCATTCCTGAAAACCATTTTTTGGAAATTGGAGCACATCTTCCCATAGACTCTAAATATGTTCCTACAAAAAAAATATATATTCCAAAACTTCTGAAAAGACCACAAAACCTGTTTTGAAAAACAAAATTTTTGGCGTAAGGATTAATTATTAGCAATTAATAAGCATAGTACAGTGGTCCCTCGGTTAACTAACACAATTCGTTCCAGAAGGTCGTTCGTTAACCGAAACCATTATGCCAATGGGATTTTGGGAAATTGCTTCTAGCTCACTGAAAATTACATACAAAGTAAAAAAAAAATGCAGTAAAGTACACTTACTTTGAGGTGTGCATGTAGAAGGCTCCTGGTTGATGATGATGGGAATTAGAATGGGGGTGGAGAAGGAAGAAGAGAAGGCATTGGGATGGAAGAGAAGTCACCCCATGCTTCATGTTGCCATTTTACTCATAAAATTTTAGTTCACTTGGTGTAATTCAAGATTGATTTCTTTAAATCAACACTGCACTGCATTATATATTGTCAATATGTAAAATAAACTTCACAATGACCAATAATTGTACTGTAAAAATGTAAAAATAGTTCATGTTCAAGAGAATCTCCAGCAAGAAGTTTCCTCCACTAAGCAGGGACACACACTGACGCCATTTTGGGTGTGTTGAGTGGCTGTTTGGCACGCTAAAAACTAGTTCCCTGTACTTCAATTACGTTAAATAATTGTTAAAATGACTAAAAACTTTAATACAAGACTTGGAAAAATATTGAATAGTACAACCTTCGTAATATTTACTCAAATGGTAACGAATTTAATCCCTAAAACCGATTACACTGTACAGTCATGCGCCGGTTAACGTCCAACCGAACAACGTCCTATCGCATATACGTCCATGCCCCCAACCCCACCCCAAAAAAAAAATCCGTGACGCCTGCTGGATCACCACTCCACGACCTCCTGACGGAGACACGATGATCCTCCCCATACTGGTCAGATATTATGTGTTAAAGGAATATGCTTCCTTCCTTAGGCTCTTTTTAAGCATTTGCCTCCAGGTGTAATGTTAACCTACATCTATTGAGGATAAAATCTTTCACCTCCAAATTGGCAATAACACATTTGCTGTAATCAGACATATCTAGTTGCCTCAACAATTGCAACCCCAGTTGCAACCCCAGTTGCAATTGGGGTTGCAATTTCAAATTCTGTGGCATTACTAAGAATAACGAAGTCTCTGATGCACTCTAAGATTAAGAGAGAAAACGGAGGACTCAAGCGTCCTGATGTGAGAGAAAACGGACTCGTATAATGGGGGACCAAATAAAAAAAGCATAGCTACATGTGGACTACAGTACTAAGCGTACCCTTTTCATCACTGTAATAAACCTAGCCATGCCTATGTGTGTTTATGATATTTACCATAAAATTATATACTGTATATATATTTGGTGGGTATAAATGGTCGTAAAATGGGAAACTTGGGGTAGGGTCTTGGGTGCCTGGAACCAATTAGAATAAATCCCATAGGTTCTGTACTTTCGTTATCGGCGGGGTCCCAATTAGGCGCGATAACCAAGGGATGACTGTACTGTACTGTACTGTATATACTTGTGACACTGGCCAGTTGTTTCTGGTGTTATGGTACAGGGGTACCAAGTGACAGCACTAGGATCCCGCTTCCTCTATCAAGGAATAAACAATTAAAATTTAAATTGAAAAAGAAACCATTCAAATAATGGGACCTAGCGAACCTAAATGGCCCTAGGGTGGGCACAGTCACATATGCACCGCGTATTCTTATAGATTGTGCTGCCAGGCGTACGTTATCTAGTGAATTTAGTCAATATTGTACAGTAACAATGGACCTAAGTGCAAACCTGTTTTGTACATGTACTAAATGATTACGTTACTAAAATTGTTATGTCTATTGCAAATATAGCTTGTTTATACAGGTATTCAAATAAATTACTATCTTACAAGAATCCCACCAATGTAAGTTATATTCACCCAGGTCGTTTGGGTGGCAAATTATGAGAAGAGCTTAGTCACTCTTAAGTAATGATAAATAAACACACACACAGGCCTTCAGCGCCAACTGTCAAATCTTATCTCAAATAAATAAACAAACAAACGCCAGACATTCTGTCACCTCACCTCCCCCCCCTCTTCCCACACGCTCCTGGCTACTTCCTTCCTTGTGTTCCCAGACAAAAGATTGGTGATTTCTTTATGTTTATTTTATATAATATCTCAGACTAAAGTTAGGATAATATATTTGCATTGCTGAAATCCTTGCAAGACAGAGATTAATTTGAATATAAGCGTCATATATTTTGCTCAAGATATAAAAAATGTTGTACATTAGTGTACAATACTGTAGTACATTTTATAAAAAAATTTTAAACTGTATTTTTGGGTAGATTTACATAGATTTCTTCATTTATTTTCATCCATTTACATGCACACACCATACTAAAAGAAACATAAAAGAAATATATGACCTTAGTGCAAAGCTGGAGTGCACATGTACTAATTTGATTACGGTACTAAAATTGTTTTGTCTAGTGCAAATTATAGCATGTTTATATTCAAATTAATCAGTATGTTACAAGAATCCCAGCAATGTTGATTATATTCACCCAGGTCACTTCACTGGCTTTTTATAAGAGAGAAGCTTAGTCACTTAAGAACTGACACACACGCGTTAGACCTGGCCCTGTGCCAACTGTCAAACGTACTACCTCCCCTCCCCCCACGCCCCCTCGCTCGCTCCCACCCTCTCTCTCCCCCATCTGCCCGGCGTTGCTGGAATCCTTGTAAAACTGTGAATAATTTTAATATAAACTTCATGTATTTTGCACAAGAGATAAAAATTAATCACCTGTATCACATTACAGTAGTGATTTAAGAGTAAAAGTATATATGTATGTATATAGTATTCCACATACACGTAAGTATAAATACAAAATTTATGTGATGATCGGACAACGTCCATTTCGGTTAACGTCACGTTTCCAAGAACATATCTAGGACGTTAACCGGCACATGACTGTACTGTATTGGTGGACTAATACTACAGCTGATGAGCAGGCGAAAACATGTTGGGAAAAAATTCGTAAGGAATTCGTTAACCGAAGTGAAGAATCTTATGGAAGGTAATTTGTTAACCGAAGTTTCGTTAACATAGGCGTTCGTTAACCGAGATATCACTGTACTGTATTGATCACCAAAAACAACATTCGTCTTACCCCCCCATTTGTCTATCAGTATTTATCTTTCCGTCCCTATTATTAGCCAAAGATTTATAATATTGTTAAGTATAATAGTGTGTAATAATATGGAAACACCACTACCCTCATCCCCCACCATTAACCTCTCCCCTCCCCTCCCCTCCCCCCCACGTAATTAACATACGAATACAGAGGTGGAGAAAGTTTGCATAATATTTGGTAAAAACAGTATTATGAAAATAGTATTACAATCTTACTTTGTTTTGGTTCCTTCGTTTTATCATCCCTGAAGATCGTAGTAAGTTGAAGTTACGTAAATCCTCAGGAGTGCGTATAACTGTAATGGCCTCGTCATAATTAAATTACATTTACGCTTGGCAACCTCCTTTGCCCACTTGTCAACCCTTTGCTGTCTCATCCTGCCTTTTTTTTTCTATTGGGTCTGGGGGAGGGGGGATATGCTCCTGACCCCTGCAATCTGCATCACGTGGTGGTGCTCCACCACCAACATTAGGCTCCCCAACATCACCAAGTAGTTCATCACCAACATTCTCATGCACGTCACATGCACCATCGCCAGTAGCACTTGCATCACCACTAAATTCACCACCAAAATCACTATCACCAAGCATGGTTAATCACACGCTCAGGTTTTAGGGCTCCTGAACCCACACCAGAAGACCTGGTCTCACTTGAGTCTTGCTCTAAAATCGGGCAGACATTGCACAGCACCCATGGAACATGAATAATGTCAATGTTACGACGAAAAGTTATCAAAAATAGCAGTGGCAGGTTCACTGAACCTCCTTAAGCTATACAATGCGCAGCATCTGGGCATGTAGATAGGCTGAGGAGCTGACGTAGCAAGAGAAATCAATTGTGATTGGCTGACTCGTGGGGGTTGGTGGTGGTGGTGGTATGGTCAGCGGGAGGCTTGCTGTCATTGGCTTGCGCTCCTCTCGCTCTGAACGGGATGTAGCCACCTTCATTTACTGAGCGCATAGCCAGTTAAGTAGCTCCCGGCCTGAGGCAAAATGACACCCTATTTATGAAGGACTTTCAACCATATTTTTATTCTAGCTAGAGAGTTACATCCAATGCCAACATGTAAAGGAAGGGTGAAAATAGTAATAAACAGTGGTCCCTCGGTTAACGAACACAATTCGTTCCAGAAGGTTGTTCGTTAACCGAAAATTTCGTTAACCGAAACCATTGTTCCAATGGGATTTTGGGTTCCAGCTTACCGAAAAGTACATACAAAGTAAAAAAAAAAAATGCAGTAAGGTACACTTACTTTGAGGTGTGTATGTAGAAGGCTCCTGGTTGATGATGCTGATGTGAATTTGAGGTGGAGAAGGGAGAAGAGAAGGAAGTGGGGGTGGAGGAGAAGCATTTTACTGTTTCTTGGAAGGCGAGTCACCTTCCATAAAAATGTCAGGAACCTGTGGACTGACAGATTCTCCAGCAGGAAAATCCCCTCTTCTTTTCGATGTGCAAGGCTTATGGGTAGCATCTTTCTCCCGCTGCCTTTTAGAGAAGAAACTGTCAATTTTTCTTTGTGGGGCATTTCTCCTCCTCATCATTAACTGATTTTTGAAGAAGGAGAGCACTTTCTCCTCAACATTACACAAAATAGGTTCTGTTGTTTCCACATCAGGGTGCCTTGAAGCCAGTTTCCTGAACTTCTCCCAGTAGTGAACAACATCTTTCAAATTTGAAG